CGGGGGTAAAACGTCATCTAGCTTCAGGCCTATTTGGAGGACAACAATTGTTACGGTGCATGTTACGTCATAGCCGCCATCTTGGTTGACGATAACAATGCATTCCTCATTGAGATTTTCTTGTTATACCAACCAACATAGCGTTACAGTGTTATTTATATCTCGAGGGATTTTTCGGTCACGTGGTTGCTCTCCAAGAATAGGTGAGATGAGCACAGGATATGTTCGCTATATAGATAAAGTTATTATTAGGTTTCCAATTCTCATGAAATTGAAAAACTTTTTGTTATGTCCTCCAAATTGAAATTCGAAACTGGTCTATTGTTAAAGCTAGAGAATAAATTCACCATTTTCCATACATTGGTTCACTGGCCAAACACAAAGCGCTCAAGCGAGGCGCCAAGGTACTTTCAAAGGATTATTCAAATTTGAACCTTGCAACCTCGACTGAATGCGTTGTGTTTGACCAGTGAACCGATGTATGGAAAATGGTGAATCCTGGGAATAAATTGTTGCAAGATTTTAGCAATCTTAGCCCTATTAAAGCCCCGTTTACACTGGCGATTTTTGCGGCGATTTTTGCCGCAATTTTTGTGGCAATTTTCGGAAATATGAAATCTTTTGTCTCATCCTTCTAAAGAGACATTCGTCTAGGAAAATCTTGGTATCCTGAAAAAAACTTTACAAGTAAATTACTAACTGAGAAATGATTACCTCAGTGAAACCATACTTGAACAAATGATCCACGAGTAGCCACAGTTCCTTGGGGATCTCTAGAGCTTCTTTTGAACGCGCCAGAGACGATTTTGGCTTGTTGTCTTGAATATGTTCCTGTTGAATCATGAAATAAAAATTCACAAATACCTTGTTAAAAAAAACAAACTTGTCATCGCTTATCACCACCGCAAGTACAGCAGTGGCGCAGCTCAACGGGGTCGAACTGAAAGCATGTGAAGCCGCCTCTGGCAGCCGTTATACAGTCCATGTATGATCCCGGAGCACAGCTCTAACCAGTTTGAATTAGTTAGGGTTGATTTGAAACCTCTTTTTGAAATCTGTTAGCATATATGTAAACAGATATTACCTCTATTTCTGAGTCAAATGTGTCGTAGTAGATAATTTTATCACCGTAGGTACGAAAGATAGTAGACTGACTTTTCGGACGTTAGTCCTTCGTCGGAGTCAACCGACGCAGTCCAAACTAGTTCCAAAACTAGTCGTCATCTTTATTTCTGAGGTTGAGGGAGAAAAACTGGATCGAGTTGACATTGCAATGCATTGTGGGGTTGTTTTAGGGCAATGTTTCCAAAATGGCTTTTTCACTTAACCTCGGAATGGCTAATTTGACTTTTAGTTTTGAAGATATTTAAGGAAAATTTAATGACTTCACTGGATACCGGGAAGCCCCACCCCTACCCCCTAAATCGGGTCTCTCGTAAGATGATCATATCCCTATGTGAAATATGTGTGCATATTTTATCTTACCAGATCGACTAGATTAGCAACCGGAACATCTCTGATTGGTCCATACATGTGTACTAGGGCTTCCAGTGACGAGCCAAACACACTAGGAATGTAGTTCCCTGTTACGACGATCTACAGTAACGTTATCAAGGCAACAGCATTGAAAATATTTGAACTTTCTGCTCAAAATTTGTACAAGCATCTATATAGTCTCATCCGTAAGCCTTTCTCCTATCACTCATTTATATTCTCACCTTTCACATTCTCGCCATTCTTACATTCTCTTTCCCACCTCCCCCCCCTCCTCGCCTTCAGTCTCTCTCGGCCAAGTCAATATAGGCACAGGCAGCCCATCATGAACAAAACACAGCACAAGAAAAACAGAAAACATCATGCAAGTTACAAATAAACTTCCAATCGTAAAGAGAGTCAGAGCCCCTATCCCCCTGACTCCCCCCCTGTTGAATAATATAATATGTTACTAAGGATACGAAGACGTCCTTGCCGCCCTCCAGATGTAGCACCAATATGTCTTCCATCTTGTCATCCCCGGAGTTCAGGGCGCCAGCTGTTTCTTTATTCACGTACACTGTAAGCTTGACTTCCTTTGTATCGCCTGAAACAATGAACCAAGGGGTTATCTAAAATTAGCAGGGGAGGGGAGGGAGGGTGGAAAAAGAGATAAAGAAGAATGATAAATATCATGTGACCTTCCTTCCTTTTCCTTGGCACCACGTGATCTCTCGCACGCACTTCCGGTTACTATTAACCAATCAGAAGCATTTTTGTTGCACTGCCAAAATTTCCATCATGAATTTCAAAATGGAGTCGTATTTCGATTTAGCCTTTTTAAAATACGTCCTGAAAGATAACTTTACATTGAAAAATTCTGTGTTACATGTACTAGAAAAGCTCCCTCTTGCCCTATCAGCAATTAAAATGAATAAGAACAAAGCATAAATGCAATAAAAGTAAGCAAAATTTGTGTTGTCTTAATTAGTCACCAGCCGCCATTTTGATTACTGTGAGACATTATGAAATAGGAGACTGGGTATTAGGAACTGTTTGATTTGACAATTAATCAAGGCGAGATCATCTGGCATGGGAGGCTAAAAAGAAATAATCTAAAATAATCTAATAGACTCCTTACTTCACGCCGGAATGCTGCTCCATTTGGAGGACATAACAAAAAGTTTTTCAATTTCATGAGAATTGGAAACCTAATAATAACTTTATCTATATAGCGAACATATCCTGTGCTCATCTCACCTATTCTTGGAGAGCAACCACGTGACCAAAAATCCCTCGAGATATAAATAACACTGTAACGCTATGTTGGTTGGTATAACAAGAAAATCTCAATGAGGAATGCATTGCTATCGTCAACCAAGATGGCGGCTATGACGTAACATGCACCGTAAGAATCGTTGTCCTCCAAATAGGCCTGAAGCTAGATGACGTTTTACCCCCGTCTCTAGACCATAATAGTTTTTAAAATTCTTTCATGTTAAAATATTTGATTCCTTAGAAAATACTGGAACAATAGTCATAATAGACCAGTTTCGAATTCCAAATTACAGCTGTGTTCCTTGATTACAGACTCATTTGCACAGGGTTAGCCTCGTATCAGTGTTTAATTATTCACAAATACCAACGGTAAAGTAAAGAATGCACGGCTTCAACAATACAAACACTTTGAAACTCGACGGACCTTGACTGGAACACGTGAATATTCTGCACAAACTCGAGGCTAACCCTGTGCAAATGAGTCTGTAATCAAGAAACACAGCGGTAATTTGGAATTCGAAACGGGTCTATTAAAGAACAAAAGCAGTGTGAAAAAGATTATGGTCTAGAGACGGGGGTAAAACGTCATCTCGCTTCAGGCTTATTGAGCTGCATTCCAAGGGGGTCAAGGGATCTATAAGCTAACACAGCGGTAATGGCGTCATATCAGTTGCGTGTCTCTGTGGTAACACGATGATGTTTCTATGGCAACACTTCAGATGTATGTTTCTATGACAACAGGTGGAGTCTTTACCTTGCATTATAATTCCCATGTGAGGTTTTATATTTAGCCACGGCTTACAATACTCTTGCTCATCGAGTTTGGGTATAAAGGAAAACTGTACTGGGCCCTAGAAAGTAAAGAACAAAGGTGACACAGGGAGCCCAACTGAATAAATGGTGTTACTGTCTCAAATAAGAATGCTTCTTTATTTTATCTAATAAACGAGCAGGAGTGTTTTATCTTGTATAAAACACGAAGCGCAGCCGAGTGGTTTTACATTCGATAAAATAAGATCTGCGAGTTTATTAAAAACTCCTGATGTATGTTCTCATACTGTACCGAAATCTTTACAAAATGAACCAAGTTTGATAGAGAAAATCCAAGTTAAAGTTTATGCAAATGAAGACGAATCTATATCAGATATAAAACCTCCTTCATGGTCATGATTTCTGTTGTACTTCTTTCATTAATTGTTAAAGATAACTTTATAGAACGAAGACAGCTTGACAAACAAAAAAACAGTCGTTTTCCTTTGGAACAACACAAAGCGAAACATTCGGTAACAGAAGGACGAACAGATAGACAGACAGAAACAAACAAACGGGGATACAGACAGACAGACAGACAGGTGGACAGACAGACAGATGGACAGACAGACAGATGGACAAACAAACAGACAGACAGACAGACAGACAGGTGGACAGACAGACAGACAGACAGATGGACAGACAGACAGATGAACAGACAGACAGATGGACAAACAAACAGACAGACAGACAGATGGACAGACAGACAGACAGGTGGACAGACAGACAGGTGGACAGACAGACAGACAGACANAAATATGGTTTCTTTTTGCGAATGTAAGCTTTGACATTCAACTGTTATTGGGTTGGGAATAAAAGCTGTTTATACTGTACTTTTACATTCAAAAGCCCTAATTACATCTATAGACAGACAGACAGACAGACAGATGGACAGACAGACAGGTGGACAGACAGACAGATGAACAGACAGACAGACAGATCGACAAGGGATGAAGAGACAGACAGACAACAATTCACAGTCATGGATATAGAACTGAGACAGTCGTTTTTCCGGCAGACAAACCGGCACAAAAAAACTCAGTCTCAAAGACAGATAGCCATTAATGATGAACAGACAGAGAGACACAGGTGCCAGGACAGACAGACAGATAGACAGGCAAACTCCACATAGACCAATAAAAAGAGGCGGACAAACACAGACTCAGAAAGGTCATTTACCTGCCCAGTGTTGGCTATTTCAAGTATCAAACTACTTTTTTCCAGGAATTGTATATCCTTGAATTTTATCTATGAAAAAGAAAAAAAAAAGGTGAACACGCATGCATAAACGATACCACAGGAATACTATTTCATTTGATTTCTGAACACGTTGGGTGTTTTCTCTTACCTCTGTTGTACTCAGCTTCACTTGAGGTAGATTATCATTTTCGTGTCGGTCTAACGTCCGAACAACGTCTTCATACACTTGTTTTTCTTTATCTCGGTTAACGACTTTGATCTATCGAGAAGAAACGATGTAAGAACTTTCTTTAGCATAGAATGTGAACCCACTCACCCTTCCCTCCCCTCCTACAAAACACTACCAACCCCTCCCTCCCGAGAGACCTTTCTTTAGGATAGGATGTGAGCCCACTCACCCTTCCCTCCCCTCCCACAAAACACTACC